CATCTCCTACAGCTTCACTTAAGCCACGGCGCTCCCCAAACCTCAGGCGGGACCCCAAAAGCCTCTTCCCCCAGGCACCCCCTGTCAGCCCCGCCGGACCCGCTGTCCGAAGGGCCGGCGCAGCCCCCCACGTCCAAAGCCGCCCCCCGTCCCAGGGACGCAGCCCCCCGTCCCAGGGACGCAGCCCCCCGCCACGACGCGACCCCAGAGCCCCCCGGGCGGCCCCCTCCCCTACCTGGGCGGGCTCCACGCCGGCGGGCAGCCCCTCAGGCAGGGCCTGGAGCAGCAGCAGGGCCATGGCGGCGCGGAGCCTCCTCGCCATCCCCCCCACCCCCCGCTCCCGCCTGCCCGGCCCGACTGCGGCCCGGGACGGGAGCCGAGGGGCACCCCGCGCCCGGGCCCGCCCCCGCCGCACGCCTATTGGGCGGATGGCACGCCGCTCGGCTCACTATTGGCTCAGGGCGCTGTCGCTTAGGGCAAAACCGTGAGGGGCGGGGTCTGCGCACTGGGAGCTGCCATCTTGAGTGTGGCGCGGCGGGGAGGGAGCTTGGGGTGGGATTCGGGCCGCCATGTTTTGAGTGGCGGAACTGGCTGGAAAGGGGTGCGGGGGCTGCACCCCCCTGCAGTGGAACCTCGGGAGCAGAGCTGAGCACTGCGGAAGGGGGGAGGCACTGGCATCTTCTGGCTGCCACAGCCTCCCTGACACCTCGGCGGCAGCCAGGCACTCATCCTCTGTTCGCCTGGTCACTCCTGGTTACCATGATCCCGGCTCAGCCTCCTACCACATTGTCCCAAATCCCAACAGCTCGCCCGGTCCTGGGGCATGGAGAGGGTGCTGGGATGGCTGCATCAACATGATGCTTGACTCGAGTTGTCCGGTGGGCAGCTTTGTGTTGGTGCCAGCCCCATTGGGAGACAGGATCAGCATGGAGAAGAGGATCTCCCACTGCGGCTGGATCCCAGAGTTTCTCCATATGGCGATCCCTCACACTCCCAGGAGGAGTAGGGGCACCGGCACTCGGGATTAATTCACAGCTCCGAGGAGACAGCCAGTGTTTCTGGGGCAGCGTCAGAGGTTTTCCACACTGCCACTCCCAGTGTGCCAGGCAGCCTCTGTCCCAGATTGGCATGACAAGGTTTATAAGATGCTCAGATAACATGTTAAGAAAAGCCAGAAAAAAAAAAACTGACTTAGCAGTTTATCTCCTGCCATGGCATTTTTTTATCAGGCCAGCACTCAGGCACACCTAGGCTGGCCCGATCAGCTCAGCCGCCTGCCCTGGCACGGACGTTCACCCACTGCACATCGACCCAGCTCCCTTCTCATTCCATGGCAGTCGGTTCCCCAGACTCCACCGGCCTTTGGAGCCGTCAGCCAAGCCTTCCTGCTGGGACTGCTGGTGCCTCAGGGAGCCCCCCAGCCCCCCATGCCTGTACTCAGGCTCTGCTGCAGACCAACATGACATCTTTGGTGCGGTTGCCATTTGAAGGGAGGTTGTAAACGTGCTGGAGCACTGACATTTCGGTCACAAACAGTTACTGAAGAAGCTTTATTCCTGTTCCCAGGTAGCCCTGAAATTAGAGGCACAGCAGGGAGATGGGCAGCAAGTTCGCCAGAGCACAGGACAAGCCCAGATCAGGTGTGACTCATTGCTGAAGAGCAATTAACACTTGCTGTTCTTCACAAGCAGGAGTGAGTCTGGCTCTGACTCCTGGCAATGAGGTTTCCTTTTCTGTTGAGATGAGAAATGGAGGCAAGGCTGGCCAGAACATGGGGACTTGCTGGCCACAGCTTGGCACTCTGGTGCCCAGTGGTGTCACTCTGCTCCCCAGTGACACCAAAGTAGGCTGGGGAGTTACTGTGGTTTTGGGGAGAGCTGAGAGGCACAGACTGCAGCAACCATCTCCACAGTGATGTGAGCTGTTGAGATGACTTGAAACCTTCCAGGGAGACTCGAGCTACAACCTACAAACCTAGAAACCCCACTGTGCTAAACTGTCAGCTGGCATAAATCCATGTTGATCTGAAGAGGGAATCCACTGCCGTAAACTCGGGGCGGGGGGAAGGTCTGTCTAAAGGATCGTTTGACGATTCTCTGAGCCCAGAACAACCCTTTTCCTCTGCCCATGAGCAATAAACTGCACCATGCCCCACTCCCCAGGGCAGGGGGAGAGCTGATGCAAGATGGCAATAGCTCTTCAGAGGGTCTCTGTGCTCCATTGCCCCTCCACTATGGCTGGGGACAGGAATAAAGGAGTGGCAAAACAGCTGAGGCTTTGCCACCATGGTCCCAGCCTTGGCTTCATGTGGCTGCTGCCCCAGCATTGCTGGCTGCAGAGCCCTCTGCCCTGCTGGGACCCCCCCAAACTGCCAAAGCAGGAAGGGTCAACAGCAAGAGCATGGCTGTGATGTACAGGGGAAGGGCAGTTTTAGGATGCTGCAGCACATTGTTTTACAAGCATTGCTGTGCACCCAAGCATGCCAGAGGCACCTTGGACCCAAACACAGCCCAGGCAGCTAGAGGTACCTTTCTGAAAGTCCTCAAAGCTGTTTGGGGTGTAGGAGGAGAGCAGCTTGAGTTAAGGAGCTTAAGGAAAGCAGAGAGTGGAGATGTCTCCTTGTGGCTTCTCCCCATGCCCAACAGGAATGACATCTGTTTCACTTCATGTGCTTATCTGTTATTTTAATTGCACTTTAACAAGAGATCTAATAACGCCAAGGGAACAGATACCCAAGTTTGAACATGTTTTCCTACTTTCTACTGGCCTATTAATTATTTCAGAGCTCTTTTACAGCTTTCTAGCTGTAGCTACGTGTGGTTGGAGACATTATCCTCTCCCTGTTGCAGCTTGGGCAGAAGCAAACCTGTTGTGGATACAGCTTGGCCCTTCGAGAAGTACCTTTAAGGTTTGTCTGCTCTCTCTGTAGGAGCAGAGTGGTTAATGTGTCTCTACTCAGGCACGTAGCTGATGTGAGAATCCCTGGGGGATCTGGTATATATCCCTGGCTGGAGAGAGGAGCGTGGACCTTCTGCTGGGCCAAGGGGCTCTGGGAACAGCCATGTCATATGGCTTGTTAGAAACACGCTTGTCCCACCAAGGGATGTTCATCAGCAAGCAGAGAGCCTGGGTGCACCTGATTAAAAGCAAGGGCTTTAGCCCAGGACTTGGGCTCCTTCCTCCTCCAAAAATAGGCTGCATCAAACTCAAGCTGCTCTTCTTCAGGGTGGGAGAGGCCTCATGGCAGACCCAAGTTAGCATCATGCAAACTCTGCCGGGCCAAGAAGATAAACAGCACCATGGGTGTAGGAAGGGTCACCCAGTGTCATCCCCCCAGTTCCCACAATGGGATAAGTGTCACCATGAGCACAGCACTATTGCCTTTTGTCACTTCTCTTGGGACTGTTTGCAGCCCCAAGAACCATTTGAGGAATGCTGCATTGGATGCCCAAAGATTTCAGAATTCATGCCAGCCCTTACACTCTTCTTCCTTCTCCTGGCCCCTGTGCTGACCCTCACCCTGGTGCCTGGTCAGTCACAAAGCCCACACTTTCAAGGCAAGCATGAGACCCACATACCAACCCAGCACAGCCCAGGGAGCCAGACACAAAGAGACCAGTCAGGAGCAGACCCCACAACTGTTTTTTAAAAATCATTGCATTTATTTTTCAACCTTCCTCTGTTGTTTGCAGTGCTGGTATTCAGAGCCCAAGTTAATACAGCTCTGTGACAAGAAAGACAAGTAGCTACTGGAGAGGGTCCAGCAGAGGCCACAAAGATGATGAGGGGTCTGGGGCATCTCTCCTGTGAGGAGAGACTGTGGGAGCTGGGCCTGTCTGGGGAAGACTGAGAGAGGATCTCATCAATGCATATATATATTGCAAAGGCAGGTGCCATGAGGATGGTGCCAGGCTCTTTTCAGTGGTGCCCAGCGACAGGACAAGGAGTAATGGCCATGAACTAAACGACAAGAAGTTCCACTTCAACATGAGGAAGAACTTCTGTGCACTGAGGGTGGTAGAGCACTGGAATAGGCTGCCCAGGCAGGTTGTAGAGTGTCCCTCTCTGGAGATATTCGAAACCCACCTGGATGCCTTCCTGTGTCACCTGCTATAGGTGACCCTGCCTTGGCACTAGATCATCTGCCTAGGCAGACTAGATGATCTTCAGAGGGTCCCTAACAATTGTGTGATTCTGTGACACCTGTGTCTTCTTCCCCCATCTAAGGGGGCATAGAGACAGCTGTGCCCCAAAGCTGCAGGTCCATGGTCCTACTTTGGGGACAGTGAGATGTGGGACAAGGGTGACAGCTGGCTTTTGCAATCAGAGGAATGAAAAAATTAGAGCTTAAAAACCATTAGCTATTTCTTTCCTGGATTGTGGCAATTGCAAAGTGAATAAAACCTGAACCTGAGAGCAAGGAAGGCATAGTCCAAGCACTGGCCTCTGGACTTTGGGATACTCCCTGTGCAGAGGGGACAGGTCCCTTCATGCCTGTCAAGGCATGATCCAGGTCTTGGTAAGAGGCTACTGTGGAGGTTTAAGGCAGGAATGTGGTTTGATTGCTGGTACAATGGCAGGACAACTGCTTTCAGAGGTAGAACTGTGCTTTGAGCTCCAAGTGAGAGAGCCTGATGCCTTGTGGGGCCAAGTCCAGTGACCACAAAAGGCTCAGACGGGCTGGGTAGATCCTCCTGCACTGGGCCAGAGGAAGGCACAGGAAATACAGGCATTACTCAAGGCAAGAGGGATGTGAGGAAGCACAGACACAGCCAGCAGCAGATGGGGGAGGCTCAGGACAAGCCTAAGTGCTGCAAGCTGGGCACACAGAGCCAGATTCTGCTTCTCCAGTGGAAGGAGGCAGCAGAGAAGATGCTGGGCTGGGGAGCAGATCTGGCTGGACTGTGCTTCTGATCCCTGCTCAGGGGACACGGTACTGGTGGTGGTAGGGGGCCGGAGGGGTGTGATGGCTCCTGAGGTGATCTCCTTTCACAGTCCCTTGTTAAAATAGACATACGGCACTTTGTCCCCGTGCTTGGCCACAATGCTGTCACGCAGCTCCAGCTCAAGGTCAGCCAGCGCAAGGGAGCTGTGGGGAGACGGGGTAGACACTGAGACCTGTGATCCTCCTCCCAGCCACCAGTCAAACCACCCTCCCTTCCCATTGCCATTTGAGGCCCTCTGCATTCCCCGGGATCTTGAAGGCTCATGTCAAGACCCACCACCCATCCCTGGCATCCACCACTCCGAGTGCTGGAGGGCAGAGAGCTGCCCTTAGAGCTGGGTGTCCCATTGCTCCCAGCACAGAGCTCAAAGAGCAGGGCAGGCACATGCTCTCCTGCTGCCCTGGGCACCAGCATGTACAGGAAAGTGCTGCCTTGAGTTGAAGGGTGGGTGTCCATCATGCTTCTCCTGGGATGGGCAGAGAAGACCTAGGGGAGGGGGAAGTATCCCGAGGTCTCATGCAGGAGGGGGAAGGAGTGTGACAGGTACCATCTCTGTGGGAAGAGGGCACAGGCTGCTGGCACCATGAACAGGAGGCTGTGGGACAGAAGAGCCGAACGTTAGTGCTGGGGATCACAACCCATATGCCCCCTGGCCACGGGGATCTCAGCCCAAGAGGTGCTGCTCACACCTCGTGACTCCCAATAACTGGGAAAAGCCCCGGCTGAAAGGCAAGGCTTTGCATTCCTCTGCTGGGAACGAGGTATTTTTTCTAGCATCCCTTGGAGCCATGCTCCAGGCACCCACAGGTGTTTGAGCAGTGAGATACTTACAAGCCCCCGCAGAGCAGCACCTGCAGAGGCCCGTGGAGAACCCGGATTCGCTGCAAGGGAAGAGCTGGGATTGAGTCCCTGGGCCTCACCGCAAGCCCTGCTCACAGTGTGGGCAGACTTCTCCCCTCAGTGGTGCTGAATGCCCAACGCCTCCAGTGTGCCACCAAACCCTGCAACTCTTCCACAGCCTCTCCATGTCACTCGAGAGACCTTTGGTGTATCGGTGACTTGAGTAGGGGGCAAAGCAAGCCAGGCTCTGCAACCCCCGTTTCATCCTCTGCATCTTGGCAGCTGGGAAGCAGGGCTGGGGCACCACAGAACCCACTGGAAAACTGTGGCAGGGGAAATGTGAGCTCACCTGCATGAACGTGAATTTCTCCAGCCGCTCCATGATGATGGGCAAAATAACTAGGTACAGAGAGAAAAGGTCAGGCTCTTCCTGCAAGCCAGCCTGCAGGGCTCTCCCAGCAGCACTGTCCACCTGGAGGCCATGGCAGCAGCTAGTTGTGCTGAGGGCCACTGGGTGTTTGCTCACAGCAAGGACCTTAACCCACACACATCCATCACCCAGGCAGCATGGTCCATGCTCCTCATGCTCCCAATCCCTCCTGCTGGGCCTGTGGCATGTCAAGGGTCTCATGAGATGAGGGGATGCTGGGCTGCAGAGCGAGGGGCTAGGGCCAGAGAGCATGAGATGTGTCCTTGTGGGGCCAAACTGCCATGAGAGCGCCCCATGTCCCCCACAGGCTGTGGTTGGGATGAGGAAGCCTGGGGGCTTGGGGGACTCCGACTGGAATGGCAGGATAAGGAGATCAGCTCCATTTGTGGGATGAGACCAAATGACACCTGGGATGCAGTGCCACCCTCCCTCTTCTTCATGGGGGAAACTGAAGCAGGGGAGGGCAAAGTAGTGGGTCCCAGGGGAGTCTGTGGTCCAGTCCTGCACCCTCCTGCCTTACACTCACTCATGCCCGGTGCTGCCATGGTGATCCTGGAGACCACAACCTGTGCGATGCCCTTCACTGCTGCCCTCTGCAAGCAAAAGCAGCAGGTGAGCCCCTGCAGCGCCGTGTCCCAGCCCAGACCTCCATCCCCAGACTCACCCTGGAGCGACCGAGCTCGTTGTTGTCCCCATCTGTCACTGTGATCCCATTGATGATCTCCCTGAAGGGGACAGGCAGCCATGAGTGGAGGCCAAGATGGTCGGGAAAGCATAAGAACACAGCAGTGGGGTGAGGGAGTGCCAAGGAGGTCCTCTGTGCTGTGCTGGCACAGCAGCACCGGCTGCCCCTGGGGCACGGGGCTCCATCACCCCGGGGTGCTGTGGTCCCAGCCCAGCCGATGCTGCCATCTTCAGGGCGCAGCTGCGAGCAGGATCCAGCCGTGCCAGGGACTGACACTGCTTGGGACCCGCAGCCAAGCCAGGGGACAGTCCCTCACATAGCCCCCCACCTCCCTGTGCTGCAACTTGTGGGCGACCCCAAGCAGCAGATAGAGGTCTCCACATGGGCCCCACCTAGGGTGTACCAGCACCAGGATATCATGGACTGGGGCTCTCCCATCAGCACACACAGGAGACCTTTGGGTCTGAGGGATCTTCCGGCCCAGATCCCAGAACAGCTATCCTCAGCCCAAAATCCCCCTCCTGCTCCAGGCAGAGGCTGAGCCATCCCACCCGGCACCCTCCGCCAGAGACTGAGCCATCCCACCCGGCACCCTCCGCCAGAGACACAGCACTGCAAAAACACAGACTCCCGTTCACCTTCCCCCCGTCCTCCCACCCTCTTCAACCCCTAGGGTGGGAATCCAAGGCAGGGTGACCAGGCAGCCCAGGAGCCCAGCTGCCACCAGGTTGCCTTGGGAAGGAGCTGGGTTCCTGGAGCTTCCTATCTGCACCTGACACTTACTGTTGCCGCATCATGGGGATATTGATACAGTTGGCAGCAGCCACAGCTGCGAAGGGGACCCAGCGGGCCAGCAAGGGGGGTGCTCGCTGTGGGAGACAGACTGGCATCAGTGCAGGAGGGCAGGATGTGCCTAGCTGCCCCACCTAGCCCCAGCCTGGCATACCTTGGTGTAGAGGTTGAGTCCCACTGCGGTGGCCAGGGCTGCACCGGTGGCTGTGACATAAGCCACGCCGATTTGCCTGGACAGCGATTTCCAAAGACGGGAGAGAACAGAAACACCAACTCTGACTCAACCCTGTTCTTTCAGTACCCAAGACGGGGCATAGGTGATCTTTACAGGGGCTCCAGGGGGGTGTCAACATAGAGGGTCCCTATTCTGTGCGTGGGATCACTCACCTCAGCGAGATGGGGGAGGCAGCGTTACGGTTGGTGTAGTTGACGAAGGCATTGAAGGACTGGTTCACCCACTGCCAAAAAACCACAGCAGGCACCGTCCTGCAAAGGGAAGGGACCAGGAGAGCACACGAGGGCTGTCATGGATGCCTGGCCTGTGCCTGTGGCCAGGCTTGGCAGTGAGCCAGCCAAGATGCCCTCAATATACTTGTCATGGTGACTCCAAAAGGAAACTGAGGAACCCTGGCAAAGCCACGAGCCAGTGGCAGAGCTGGGGAATGACCCAGGAATCCTGGCTGCCCTAGGGCTTTGGGGATCACAGGAGGGGGTCCAGCCCTGCAGGGCACTTAGGCAGGAGTGGGAGATGCAGCTCTCAGCAGGGCGGCAGCCATCCTGCTGGGCTGAGATAAGCCTTTGTCAAAGGGAGCAGCAAGGAGGGAGCACATGGGGACAGAATAGGCTCTGTGGGACCAGGGTGCCTGGGCTTCTACTGGTGTCTCAGGAACATGGAAGTGGGGCAGGAAGGGACACAGGGAGATGTGGGTCTGAGCAGGCTTTGGGATGCAGGAAGGTGGAGATGGGCTGAGAAGAGGGTGACCCATCGGCACTGGGAGAGATGCCATCCAGACTGGACCTCATCGGCAACTGTCAAACCAGTCTAGCAAAGAGGGGTCAGATTGGGTGGGGATCCAATGGGAAAGGAAGTGTATGATCTACATAGTCTGGAGACAGGATTGCTCACCCCCCCAGCAGCTATTTCAGCAGGTAAATGCAGGGAGCTGTCAGCAGGGGCTGGGGATGCTGAAGCAACCTGGCCTGGGGGCAGATTTGGTTCTCAGTTCTGAGGACTGCTACGGTCCGCAGACCAAGAGCAGCAGCCAAGTAGGACTTGGTTGCATTAATCACTACAGGAGCTCTGGGAAGTGCTGAGCTGAGCTCAGTGTGAAGTGAGACCATCCTCAGCGATGCCAGAGGCCGAGGGGATCTGTGATGCTTCCACCACAGGCTTGGTGCTGGGGACAGGGCACAGGGACATGCATGGGGCTTGGCCATGGGACACAGGCAAGCACAGCAGCCATGGGCATGCCTTGGGCAGTACCCAGCCCCAGAGGAGGCAGACTGGCCACACTCCAGCCATCAGAGGACCTCTTGAAGGGCTGGGGGCTGTCGCAGCTGTGTCCCCAGCCTGGCAAACCCATGAGCTCACCGATAGAACTGGAGCATGAAGCCGGTGATGGCCATGCCCCCTGGCACCTGGAAGGACATCCTCCCGATGAGGTTCATCTTCTCACCGCTGTCAGGGTGGAAGGCTGAGTCGTACAGCTTCTTGGCATAGAGCAGCTGCTCCTGGCTGCTTCCTGGTGGCACCAGCCCGGCCCTGCAAGCCCAAAGCCTATCGGGGAAGCTGCACAGACCTGCCAGCACCTGGCACTGCCGGAGCACAGAGCCCCAGGCATCATACATGAAAGGCAGAGGAAACATCTCTCATGAGAGATACATGTTACAGCTTAGGGCTCCTGGGAAAAGCCTGGGAAACTCTCCCAAAACTGCCTCCAGGGGATGTTAAGTCACAGTGTACCTGCTTGCAAATGACTGCCTCCATCCGCCTGCAACACTGCAGAATGGTCAGGTATGGCAACGGGCACAGGGATGGCACCTGCCCTGGCTGTACCTCTGCCCCTCACCTGCAGCCTTCCACCAGGGCCTTGGCCCGGTCCAGCTCCTCCTCCGGCACCAGCACTGTCCGCGGGTCGGTGATGTTGAGGAAATGCTTCAGGCGCCCCACAAAGGTGCTCTGGTCCCAGCGCGGGGCGTCAATGTTGAAGCCAAGGGGAACAGTGGACATTTTGCTCTGGGTCTGTCCAGGGGAAGAAGGTAGCTCAGTCGGATCCTGCCTCGCTTGCTCATTGAGTGCAGGCCTGCCACGGCCACGGGAGCGGTCAGATAGGTGAGAGCCAGGGCAGGTTTATGTTTAACGGGATAGTTGGACTTTCAGCAGCCCTGAGCCTGGGAGCCTCCTGCACCCCTGTTGCCAGCAGAACACTGCAGCGAGGCTGCTCCTCCATACACCATCCCACTTGCATGGGGTCCCCCCACTTGTGCTGCCCCTCAAAGCACCCAGAACCCCCTCCTTGGGGTGGGATATGCTGCACAGCACTGCAGGGCCCAGCTCAACCCTTCCAGGGCTGCACAGCCCTGCCCTGTGAGCACTCTGTTTGGGAGAAGAGGCCGACTGTCACCTGGCTATTACCTCCTTTCGGATAGTTGTACAGAGCGATAAGATCTCCCCTAAGCCTCCTTTTCTCCAGGCTAAACACCTCCAGGTCCCTCAGCCACTCCTCATACAACTTGAGCTCCAAACCTTTCACCAGCTTCGTTGCCCTTCTCTGGAAGGCACGGCCCGGCCCGGCCCAGCACAGCACGGCTCGGCTCGGCACAATCCCAACTCGCCACGGCCCGGTGCGGTTCAGCTCGGCTCTGCACGGCCCCGGACACCACACCCACCGCCCAGCCCAGACCAGCCCAGCCCAGCCCTGCCCTGCCCTGCCCTGCCCTGCCCTGCCCTGCCCCTGCCCCTGCCCCTCCCCTCCCCTCCCCTCCCGTCCCGTCCCGTCCCGTCCCGTCCCGTCCCGTCCCGTCCCGTCCCGTCCCCACGTGTCCCACCTGCGCTCCCCGGGCCCCTCTCCCGCCCACATGTCCCGCTCCCGCCCCGCGCTGCGGCGCGTGGCCGCCCTCAGCCAATCACAGAGCCCAAAGCGGCCGCGCCCACCTTCCCTCGGGGGGGCCGCCCTCGTACGCATGCGCTCTTTGGAGGGCCGGGCCTGAGCGTGGCCCCGCCCCCCGGCGCGCGCACGTCGTCGCGCGGGGCGGGTGTGACGCAGTTGCCCATGGTAACCCCGGGCCGCGCCGAGGATGGTGAGCGGGGCGGGGGCAGCGCCGGGACGGGCCGGGCCCGGGGGGGCGCGGGGCACGGGGGGCCTGAGGGGCCGGGGGCGCCGCCACTGCCGCCACTGCCGCGGAGCGTGGGGTAATGAGGGCCGGAGGCACCACCCGGGGTCTGTCGGGCCCGGCTGGGGCCCAGGGCAGGCACTGGCGGGCCTGGGGCCACGAAGGGGTGTGCCGAGAGGACGGGACCAGGAGAATGGACCAGGCTCTGCTCGGTGATGCCGGGCAATAGGGCACAGGGCAACGCGCACAAGCTGATGCAGAGGAAGTTCCACTTGAACTTCTTTACTGTGCGGGTGACCACGCACTGGAACAGATTGCCCAAAGAAACTGTGAAGTTTCTCTCACTGGAAAAATTCCAGGACCGTCTGTATGCAATCCCGTGCCATGTGCTCTAGGGTGTCCCTGCTTGATTAGGGAGGTCGGAGCAGATGACTCGCTGTGGTCCCTTCCAGCCTGTCCTGTTCTGTGATGCTGTGACACCCACCCGGGAGTCTGGCAGTCCTGGGATCTGAGTGCCCACCTGGGCAGAGTGTGGGGTGCCAGGGACCTGGTGGGGCAGGGGTGTCTTGTCGGGAGTGGGGGGCCCTAGGCTGTGGAGGTTGGGGACACCCAGGCAAAGGGAAGGGAACAGTGTAAATTTGTGGCCTCCAGCCGTGGGAAACCCTGTCTGGGGCCCTGGCAGGACACAGAGATTACAGGGGGCATGGAGAAGGGAGTTGAGTCCAGACAAGGGCAACAAAGCTGGTGAAGGGTTTGAGCACAAGTCCTATGAGGAGCAGCTGAGGGAGCTGAGATTGTTTAGCCTGGAGAAAAGGAGGCTTAGGGGGGGACCTTGGTGCTCTCTACAACTACCTAAAAGGGGGATGTAGCCAGGTGGCAGTCATCCTCTTCTTCCAGGCAACTGGTGATAGGATGAGAGGACGTAGTCTTAAGTTGTGCCAGCAGAGGATTAGATTGGACATTAGGAGAAAGTTCTTCACAGAAGTGATTAGATGTTGGAATGGGCTGCCCAGGGAGGTGTTCAACAAAAGACTGTACGTGGCATTTAGTCCCACAGTCTAGTTGATGTGGTGGTGTTGGGTCGTAGGTTGGACCTCAGAGGTGTTTTCCAGCCTAATTGATTCTGTGAGTTGGATCTTGACAGGGGCTGGGAGACCTGAGGATGCTGTAGGGGGATGGGATCAGCCTGCTTGGAGTTGATTCAGTCAAGGTCTGGAAGGTGTAATGGAGGGTTGGATGCTTGGGAGGGCTGGGGAGCAGGATGGCAGTGGCCCATCTGATCTGAGGAGGGAAGGAGTAATGGAAGAGCCTGGCAAGGATGGAGGGCAGTGTTCAGGGATTGACTATGAAGAGTCTAGGACCATCTGTGGCTGTAAAGGGACACTGGACAGCCCAACCAAGGTGGGAGGAGGCCACCCTGTGACCTGAATCCTGGCTGTAGGAGTTCATGAGGGTGAACTTGGTGAGGTGCAAGGGCTGGTTGTTGGTAAACAGCCTTAGAACAGGAGTTCAGTCATGGCAGAGAGGCCTGGATGAAGGGATTGCATGTTCAGGGATGGGCAGACTGAGACAAACTGCTCAGAGGCTGAAAGAAAACTGCCAGTTGGGTGGGATGGACAGTCTGGTGAGTCGCTGGGAAAACCCAGTCAGTGTTGGCTGGCTAGGATAGTTTGCTGGAATCTTCTGTGCTCTGGGGCTGGGGGGATGAGGGACAATCTGGGTTGAAAAGAAAAAATAAGAATACACTGGGGGAAGGGATGGGAGTGGAGTTTTGATGCTAATGGGAAAAAGAGAGGTCCCAGGGAGAAAAGAAGTGTTGGAAGAGAGAAATGAATTGTTTGAGAGGTAGCAATATGGATTGAAGAAAGAAATTGGAGTCTTGGGTGGGACCCAATGCTGGGATACAGGTAAGGTGGTGAGAGTACCCTGCAGTCTGAACTGAGGTTGTGGGAAGGTTGGATGATGGACCAGGGTGTTGGAAACATCTTGGGTTTAGATGCCAGAGTAGTTGGGGTGGAATGCTAGCAAAGTCCAGTGAGGACTGGACTGGGTCTGTGGGTGAAGGGTGGTGAGAGAGAGATGCTGTGGGTGGGGAGCAGCTGCTGAGGATGCAGCATGAGCAGAGAGCACAGGCAGAAGGAAATAGCAGTGGGAAAGGAGCTTTCCCAAGGGCACAGCTTTATTTTGTCCAGGAGCCCTCTGGACTCAAGCTGGATTCATGCAAATGGACAGCATGGGAGGAGGTATAAGCAAGAGCAGCAAAGGCAGCTTCTCATCTTCACTGGGTTAATTCTGGCTGCATCCCCACCTGCTGGGCTACAGAGAGGGAGATTGAGATAAAACCTGTGGGATCTGCTCTATTTCAGAGGAGTTGGTGATGGAGCATGTCACACCAGACACCAAAGCCATCACAGGATGGACATCTGCTGTAAAGATGAGGGCAGCTGCTTCCAGCAGTGCAGTGCTTTGTAGGACACATTTGGCCTGCAGCTGTCAAATCTGCTCTTCTGCCTTATGATGTCCCGATAAGCTGGTATAGTCTGGGATCTGGCTGCTCTTATCCAGGCGCTTTGTGTGTGGAGAGGGCGGACTGGGTGTTCTCCAGCGTTCGTGTTATTTGATATAACGTTTCACTGCCTCTTTGTCTGTTTTTCATTTCCGGGAGTTGTTTTTTGAATTGTAGCCTCTCAGGCAGGGTGGGTGGCACTTTGAGGTGCCTGGTGGACTGGCTGGACTGGCAGGAGACTGCACTGTCTCTCTAGATTCTCAACTTCCGCTAAAACAGAATTATCCTTCGTGGTAGAAATTCTGAAACAGCAGCAAACGTATTCAAAGCAGCTGTGGCAGCCCCGGGATGTGGGTCAGCAGTCAGAAATGATCCAAACAGCTTGATGTAACAATTTACTGCTTGTCATCTGAGCTGTGGTAGCTGCCCGTGGACGTGTTCTGCCGTGTCGTGATTGCATTGGGAGGCACTTAAACCCCCTTCAACAGCTGCTGGCTCCAGTAATGAGAGGGTTAATGCTGAGGTTTGAATTGTTTCAGTGTTCATCCAAGTGAGTAGGTACAGAGGGGAAGTGTCTCCTTCTGCAGAGCATACCAACATTTCTCACAGCTGTGGGGCAGGGGTGGTAGAAGGTCATAGGTAGAGCACGGAGGGAAGGATGAGCATAAAACTGCATAGCATGAGAGACAATGTAGCGCTGTAGTCTTTGGCACAGTTAAGCAGCATCTGTGGTGGGCACACAGCAAGGGCAAAGGGAGGCTGCTACATGGAAGGTTATGCTGCTTTCCAAAGTTTAGGAAATGCTGTGTGAAGCAGAGCTTGTGGCCTCCTCATCACTGTAATAACAATCTTTACCAGGAGAGATGGTATGTTATTGATAGATACTGGGGCCAGAGGATGGCCGGTGTTTTTCTAAAACCATTGATTGAGGATGACATCATTATGTCAAAACCAGAATTGTCAAAGTGTGGCCCCGTTTTACAGTTGAGGAAACTGAGTGATGGAGTGTCTAGCTGATACTAGGCAGATCTGGTAGAGAGGATGAAATACCAGCATAGCTAAATGTGTAGTCAGGCATTTTTCTACTGGTCTTGAGCTCATGTTTCTAGGAAAACCAGCATTTATCTCTTGCCTACTGTAGATGTACCTCATACCTAGAAATTCTTTTTTTTTGTCCCTTGTTCCTTAGCAGTAAGGCTCTATTTAAAAAGGCCCCATTAAAAAAAAAATGCTTTCGAGGGTTTTAATAGTGCCTTACTACTTTAGTTTCCCAGTACAGTTCCATGTCATGTTTTTTGGTTTATTTTACTGATTGCTGAGAGGTTGATAGGAGAAACCACCTGCAGATAGGAGAGCGTATCAGCCACTGACCAAGACTTTGAAGTTTTAAAAGCAGACAAAGACTACTGACATCGTCCAGTGCTGGGCATT